GGGGGGGGGGGGTCCCGTCTGGGAGAAGAATCTTACCTGGGAGGGGCCCTGTCCGCAAATGGGTTAAGGGCCAGCAGGGACAGAATCTCGGCGTCATTGGCCAGGAGCCTGCCCGCCAGGTGGATGACCCACTCGTGGTGCTCGTAGGTCTGGGGGCAAGAAGAGGAGGGTACTTGGGCTCTGCCCCCAGGTTGGCACTGGGCGCCCACAGGACGAGGCCACCAGTCTGAGCCCTATTTCGGGCAGGAACTGTGGGGTGTGGCCCCCAAGAACCCTCAGGAGAGGGCGTGCTCTCTGCTCATTCCCTCCCTCCAGAGGGCCCTGCCTGGTCACTCCCTATATCAGGCTGTTGTCCTGGGTGTGCCTGAAGTATGGTCAGTGGGCTGCCCCGGGTGCCCATGCCCATTGCTTTGGTTTAGGCTCTGCTCCAGAGGGGCTGCCAGCTTCTGTTCTGATCCATCAGCCAGATGTCTGAATTGTTCATTCGGGTGCTGGGTCCCCTACCCCACTGTCCTGTCCTCCGGTAACTCAGATGCAGCAGGCACAGGGCCCGGGCGTTCCAGCTCACCTCTTGGCTTTGTCACCTGGGAGCCTCTCAGGCAAGGGACAAAGCCTTCCTGAGGTTGTCACCATGGGCGAGATGGGTCAGCGGGAGATGCGGCACCTCCAGGCTTTCTCTGGCCCGAGCTAACGCTCTGTGGAGGTCAGCTTCCCTGGCATCAGTCACGCCTGTCTTGTCATTTGTGGTGGAGGCACTTTGAGAAGCTGGCTGTGGCACATGGTCTCTGTGTAAGGGTGTCTGAGGGAGGCCTCTGGGGACCCGTACCTGAGGGGAACCACTGCTGTCCGGAGGCAGAGCCATGTGTGCAGTGGAGCACAGGGAAAGACTGGCCTTGGAACCCCGCAGAGCCAGATGTTTGCCTGGGCCCAGGCTACTCAAGGAGCAAGACCCAGCCCCTGGGGGGCGGGAGCCTGGGAGCATGTTGTATATGTCACTGGCTGGCCTCAGATCCAGGCCCCAGTCTCAGGTACCTGAGCAGTGGAGTGACTTCTGCCTCGAGGGCTGGGGTTGGGACCAGATGAAACTCCACAGTTAACGCCTAACACCAGAGTCCAGCCTGACCTCCCGTGTCCTCAAGGGCCCAGGTGGGTCGTGGAAGGCTGGTCAGAGTGGGGGCTGCATGGGCACCCATGGCTGCATGTTGTGTGGGCTATGACATTGTTTCCAGTGGGGTCTGATCTCACCCCCACCTGCCTTCCCCACCAGCACTTGTTGCAGGGGATACCAGGGCCCCAGGTATCCCCATTGAGGGCACCACAACCTTGGGGATGCTGGAGTGACCTGAGCCCGAGTCCACTGTGAGCACCGGGACATGCAGGGTTGCAGGGGGATGGTGGTACAGGAGGAGGAGAGGGCCCTTACCTGGAAGGCCGCAAACCACATGAGCCAGTCGAGGCGGTGGTGGTAGGGGGAGATGAGGCATGGCCGTCTCCTCAGGTCGCCTGGCTTGCACTTGAACTCGTAGTCCTCCCACACAGTGTCTGGCGCGCTGGCGTTGGGGCTGGCTGTGCCCTGCAGGATGATCTCTGTTCGCTCCTTTGTGATGCTGTTGGGGAGACCAAGTCAGGGCAGGCTGGGCTCTGGAGAACTGCGGGCGGTGGCTGTGCCTCTCTACCCTGAGTAGACTAGGGTGAGGCTGGAGCTGTGGCTGTGGGTAGAGCAGGAGCAGGTGGGGGCTGGCCCTGGGGGAGGGAGAGCAGACCCCTCGACCCCACCCTGGGCCAAGATTGCCCACCTGGCTGGTCAGGGCCGGGTCTCCTTGACCAGGTGGACAGGGAGAGGAGAGACCACAGCCAGGCCAGAGGGGCAGCGAGATGGGAACCCCCAGGGATGCATGGTACCTTCCAAAGGCTCCGTATGTGTTGACAATTCTGAGGGGGTTGAAGGAGCTGTTCATGACCTGCTTGGAGCTCAGCAAGTTGAGGACCACGGGGATGCTGAGCCAGGCGACCAGGATGCCCAGTGCCAGGTTGGCTGCCTGCCGCACCATGCAGCCTGGGCCCGGAGAGAGTGACAGTGGGTAAGCTCCTGCACCCCAGGCCGGGGCCCCAACCATGGGGAGGAGCTGAGGCCGTCCCCATCCCCCTCCCCTCAGCTGGCCCTCCAGCTCCTCTGGGCTCACAGAAGCTGAGGGTGGGGCCGCTAGCCCCCCGCCTGGGAGCCTGGGAAGGGGCCTCTGCCCACAGCCCCCATCTCCCCCAGCCAAGGACACCTTCTGAGGCTGATGTAGAAACCGAGTCATGATAACTGGCCTCATGGGGTGGGCCTGGCTGTCACTCGATAAGAATGGGCCAGCACCTCTAGGGACCAGCTATCCTGGGCCTGCGAATAAAGGGCTGTCCATGTTCCCAGGTGTCCACCCACCGTATGTCGGTGTAGGCCGGGCCTCCCGGGCTTCCTCCTCCTGCATCTTCAGGACTTGGTCCTTGAGGCTGCCAGGCCCAGAGGGAAATAAGAACCCCACGGTGGCGTCATCGAAGCAGGTGATGCTGGGCACGATGGTCAGCCAGTTCAGGAAGCTCAGGTTCCCACTGATGATGAGGGCCACCTGAGGGACGGAGCAGTGTCTCAGCCCCAGGCTGAGCAGAGGCCGAGGACAGTTGTCACGCCTAAAACTTGGGGCTTGGGGTGCTCATGCTGGTAGTAGCCTGGCTGTCCCTTTTAGCTGCCTGTGCTCCACCCACTCCACCAGGATCCAGAAACAGCAGTGACTCGCAGATTCCATACCCAGAGGTGCTGGGGTGGAGAAGTTCCAGTGTCTTTCTAGAAGCACACGTGGGTGCCTGTGCTGTTTCCCAAGGGACCAGGGTAGTAGGAGGCCATCGTCTTGGCCCTGCTCCCTGCCATAGGCCACACACCTGGCCTTCCTAGACCTTTGCCGCAAGGATGACCATGCCCTGAATGACCTTGAAGGCAGATTCTTCCCAGAGCCTCTAGCGAGGGCCCAGCCCGCTGACACAATTCCAGCCTCTGAGGCTCTACTTGAGGCTGCAGCTTAGCCACCCAGATTCCTGGCCTACAGGACTGTGAGATAACAAACTTGTGTTCTTTGATGCTGTGGTTTGTGTTTGGGGCAGTTGTTATGGTGATTATTAACCAATACAAGCCTGGGGTAGGAACCTGCAGTGTGCCCCTCCCCAGGGAGGGGCTCTCCCACCATAAGTGGGGGCATCTAGAGTCCAATGTCCCCTGAAGTCGAGGACGGTGCCTGGGGCATGTGGGAGGCGGGAGGGGTCTGCAGCTCTCCCTATCAGGGTTGGGGAAAACCGGTGCACTCACCTATCTGTCTGCTGCCCTGCCCTCCACACCCTGATGACCAGGCACAGGGCTGTCCCCTGGGCCTGGGCACCCTCTGGGATGGTCATGGCAGGTTCCTAGGGTCCCGTGTGTCCTGAGCTACCCTTGGATGCGGCTTAGATGGAGCCCAACTTCCTGTACTTTCACAGTGGCCACAAGAACAGGGCCAGGCCAGGGCTGTCTGCCGGGCGGCTGTCTGAGAGGCTGGTCACTGCTCCTCCTCAGAGGCCATGAGTTGCCGCAGCTGCTTCTGGTGCAGGGTCTGGAGTGAGCCTAGATGACACAAGGTCCAGGAAGCTCCAATGCGCCTGGTGAGGAACTGGCATGCCCCCTAAATCCCACTAAAATGGTGGCCAGGAAGGTGAGGCTGCCCTGTGTCCTGGACCCACTGGGCTCATCTCTGTGGCATGGTGCTAACTCAGTGACCCGCAGAGGCTTTCCAATCAGAGCCACCCCCAGAGGGACTGAGACTCATGGCTGTAAGAACTAAGGTCATGAATGGACAGGTATTGACAGCACGGGAACTTCCCACACCCCCAGCCTGTCTCAGGATGGCATCCTGGAGCTGCCTCCCAGTCAGAACTTCGGGAAGTGCCTTCTGGCAAGTGCCCACTGTCAGCTGCCGTAGAGACTTGAAGAGGACACCTCTGGCCTGATGCCCTGCTGTTGGGTGGCGGGCAGCAGGGAGTGAATGGTCTTCACTTTTGGGGAGGGGAGGGTTCTGGGTTCATGCCCTACTCATGTGCCCTGGACAGAGGCCTCTCGTCTCCAAGCCCCCAGGGACCCACAGGGCCTGCTGAGCATAGAGCTTCCTCAGTGAGGAGGGCTCCAAATGACCACAGGGGAGCACAGGCTGGGAGGTGGAGAGGCCTTAGGCTCCACTGACCTGTGAGTTAGGGTGCAGCCTGGGACCCCCCCAAACCTCTGGAAAGCCCAGACACAAGGGCAGTGGCTCCTTTAAGTGCAGGTGTGAATGTGCTGACTGGAGGCCCTGCCCCACCAGGGATGCCCCCAGGTCAGGCCCCTGGATTTGAGCTCACTGGGGACCAACTGATGTCCTTGAAATACAGGGTCACAGGACACAGACAGTGATGGCTGAGGGCAGAGGAGGAGTTACATGACCGCAATAAACATCTCACAGAGGAAACGGTGCCAGAGAAGGATCAGGAGCAGGACACAGAGGAATTGATGTGATATGGTTACGGGGTCTTTACTCTTACATTTTTTTTTTTTTTTAATATATCTTTCTGAAATCAATAGAGAGGAAAGGAGAGGGAGAGAGAGAGAGAAACATCAATGATGAGAGAGTCATTGATCGGCTGCCTCCTGCACGCCTCCGACTGGGGCTCGAGCCTGCAACCCAGGAATGTGCCCTGACTGGGAATCGAACCCCAATCGCCTGGATCCTAGGTAAATGCTCAACCGCTGAGCCACACCCAGCTGGGCTTTACTCTTACTTTTTAAGTCAATTTTATTGATATGAAAGAAAAAAATGCACCCATTTTTAGCATATATACTTCATAGCTTTTGACACATTTATTCCCACGTAAATCACAAAATCCAAACTTCCACCCCCGAAAGTTTCCTGCTGCCTGTTTGTGTCAACCCCCTATCCCCAACCCTGCAACCTCTGAACGGACTTCTGTTGTGTCCGTTATCCTGCCTGTTCTAGAACTTGGTGCTGGTTCCCCTGGCTCAGCTCTGGGTTCTGAGACACGCACTCCTGGGCCTCAGAGCACCCCACAGCCCACAGAGATGGGTACCTGTCCTATTGTGCTGGTGCACCCAGGTCTTGACTACCGCAAGTCAAGGCCACATGAACATTTACACGGAGATTTGACTTGTTCGGGGTTATGGGGCAGTCTGCCACCCCTAGCCCTCCGTCTGGGTCTATGAGCAGAAGCCTGCTGGTCTGACCTGGTGCTTCCTGTCAGCAGCGACCTTGAGGGTCTCTTCCTGTGCTTGCTGGACTTCACCTGTTCTCGGTGAAGCACTTGTTCAGTTTCTTCCCATTTAAAAAACAAATAATTGGCTGATTCCTTGGGTTGTAAGAGTCCTTGTCTGATATGCGCATATTGTGGTTATTTTCTGCCAGCTGGTGGCCTGCCCTTTTACTTTCGTTATGGCGTCTTTGGAAAAGGTGAAACTTTGCTTTTTTGTGAAGTCCAAGTTATCATTTAAAAAAAAACTTTACAGTTAGTGCTTTTGTGTCCCATCTAAGAATTTTTTTCTACCCCCAGGTTATAAAGATCTTCTAAAAGATTTGTATGTGGAGCTCTGATCCAATTTTTTTAATCCTTACCCCAGAAAATGTTTGATTTGAAAAAGAGAGAGAGAGAAACATCGATTGGTTGCCCTCCCTACACACCCTGATGGGATGAAACCTGCAACCTAGGTGTTTGCCCTGACCAGGAATCCATCCCACAGCCTTTTGGTATATGGGACGCTTCAACCAACTGAGCCACCCAGCCAACTGCAGCTCTGACCCATTTGAGTTAGATTTCCATGTGTGGTGTGAAGTAAGGTTCGGAGCCCATCTCTCCTTGTGGGGACTCAGTATGGAATCAATCTGGCCGGCTCCCTCTCAGGCCCAGGAACCAGCCCAGGAGGAGAGGAAGGCATGAAGCCAATCCAGGCTAGGCCTAGAGTGAGTCCCAAGGACTAGGAAGGTGGCCATGCCTTCCAGGAGCAGCGGAGGAGCTGGAGCAACCAGGAAGGATCAGGGGGTCAGGGGATCAGGATCTGGAATGACTGGGCTGTGGAGGGAACGGGGTCAGGGGTGCCGGGAATTGAGGGCGGGTCCACGGTGGACACAGTTAAAGTGTTTGCAGGGGGATAAGCTGCCTCAAGTCTGGGCCTCAGAAAAGAGGAAACAGGAGCCTGGAGCCAGAGGCGGAGCCGCAGTAGGCCAGCAACCCACACACAAAACAAGGGACAGACAGACAGGAGCAGAATCAGAGAACCCGAGTGCAGGCATCTGTCACATGAGGAGAATGGCCGGATGGACACTTCAGAAGGAACTTTGGGAAAAAGACAAAGTAAGAGCCAATAAACAGGGAATTTCATGAAGTTCAGCGTGTAAATGTATCCACATACCTAAACAAGTGAACACATTTCTGAAAGAAAGAAGGCCGTAACAAGCCAGCAGTCACTAAACAGGCAGAGCCACCACCTCCCCATCCAGGTAAGTTGACCGGCGTGTCTATGAATTCTGGAGGGCAGATGGCCCAGTCTGGTGCTGTTACTGCAGAAACACGTGGAGAGAGGGAGCAGCTAAGGAAGTAGGTGAGATGACAGATGCAGGGGTGACGGACTGCCCCACCTCCACCAAGGGTGCATCCTCCTTGGATGGCAGCAGGGACGTGCCATCTCTGTGTGGCCCAGCACCAGTCACCTCAGCTCTTCTCCAAGGCTGAGCAAAATGAGGCTGATGCCCCAGCCCCTTAATTTCTGAATTTTAATTAAAGCAGGTCTTGATCCCAGCAATAGGGAGGAACACGCCATCTCAGACGATGGCCTAATGAGGGTCTGAGGGAGGAGCCAAGCTTTTGATGGGTCATGTCATTTTTATGGGTCACAGCGGAGTTTTATGATGTGTGACATGAGAGACGGTGGATTCACAGCTCTCCCTGGATTAATCTGGAAAGCTAGTTTTCCTGGCTCTGAGCCCAAAAATAATTATTTCTTATTCTCTATGATGTTACAAACCCTATGCCAAAAAACTGGCTTACCCTGTACCTGCTCTGGGCTGGCAGTCTCTCCTGCCAGCTCCTACTGGCTCGTCAGGGTCCCCAGGCCTCAGCTGACAGGCTGCCCTGGGCAGATGGGTTGCTTTCTGAAGTCTGGGCCGCGCCACGGGCTCCCAGGAGCCATGTGCGCCGCCTCCATCTACGATCCCCAGAAGCAGGGCCCAAGCGCATGCCGTCCTGTTCCACCTCCTTGCTCTGACTTCACATTCCAGGGATGACAGTTTTCAGGGTTAAAACTCCACCAGGTGAAACCTGCTTCAGGCTAAGAGGGAGGAAGTAGTACTAGAACCTTCACTGCCAATGCAAACAACTGGATATTGAACAAAAGAGATGAAGCAACTGTTGTGTGACACGTGGCTATGGCCCTGCAGGACTCTTGGCTCAAGAGAGAAGGGAGACAAACAGACCGTGATGGCCTCAGCGCGCTGTGTGGAGGCCATTAGCGGAGTCACACAGGGAGGGGCCCCAGGAGGACAGAACTTGACGCTGGGCAGGTGGAGGG